CAGTTGAAGTCTAGGTTCCAATAATTAAAATGGTTTGTCATTTTTGAATGATTTTACGCAAAGTTATGATCGATTTACTGAAGATATTAGCATTGACTTCTATAACGATATTGAAGGATATTAGGGTTTTTTAATTTACGTTATAAATGTCAATAAGAAATTATCCTAAGCAATATGAAGTGGCAGCATTCAAATTGCATACAATAACATATTCCTTTCATTTCATTTTGAATGTCTTAATTTGACTGAGTACGAAATTTAAGAATATATAATGCAAAGATAATTGTTAAATCTTGTGGTCTTAAACTAAGAATACATGTATAACATATAATAAAATATCTTTATCATGTGATTTTAAATATGTCATGACATCGCTCCTTTAAGGAAGTGTCATTAAATATAAATTTATTTGTTAAATATGTAAAGATGATATATTTTTTTGAAATAGACTAAAAAGAAAATTACTACATGACATTCTGCATATGCGATTGTTTGTCATAATATCTTTCCCTACAGAATATTTATTATGGAAATATAACTTCTTGCTGTTCTCTTTGAGAAGGAAAAAAAAAGTGAAATTAATTGCCAATTCTTTACTCTAAAATTTTGGAATTCATTTTATTTCCTTTTTTTATTTGAAGTATTGGCTTATCTGGCTAACCATATTTTCTTTTGAATGTTTTTGTGACATCAATGATATTTCTATGAAGAATATCTTAGAGTGCAAAAAATATGAAGAGACCTTTACACAATTAGCCGGTCGCATTCATTGTTTATTATTATTAATTAATCGGTATGCAAAAATTATAATATCATTATAGACGATTATATACATATAATATATGGACTAAACGTATATTATACATGACTATTTTTAGTCTAGGCAATTGAATATTTAGGTTAATTCTTCAATTAATAAAAGAATATAGTGGCTATGAGGACAGGTATTGGGCTAAGATTATAAATGCTCCTTGTGTGAGTTCAAATAAAAGGGGGAAGGTGCATAGTGTTTTTTGTCCAAGAATACTTATCAAAAGCTGAATACAATGAATTATTTTCTGATAACTTACCCGTTTGGCCATAGATTTTGCCAAAATAATTTTAGGTTTTATTTGGTAAACACATGTTTGGCCATATATTTTTCCTATATTTTTGGCAAAATTTATAATCCCGAATCCCTTTGGGCCAATATATCACTATTACATTTTTTAAAAAATTGCCTTAAACTTTTGTATTTTATAAAAGAGCTCACTATTTATTATTTTATAATAATGTTGTTTCGTTTTGTCAGTCATCTGATAGTATATCATGTAGTTCATTATAAAAATGATAATTTTGTACCAAATTTATTTATATCCAGGACTATGGTTTGCGATAATATAATGAAAGTTATTGATAATGGTATTGTTGGGTATTTGTGATAGTTTTTAGAACTTGTGGGTATAAGTCATGTTTCATGTTTTTCCAAAATAAATTTGGGAAATATGTTTTGAAACCTGATATCCAATCACATTTTCATCTTCAAATCAAATTTCATCCAAATCAAATTTTTTAAAACAAATTTAAAAATCTATGACCAAACGCTAGCTTAGTTATTTCTTCTGTCTGATCTACCTTTCATTTGCAATAACAACCATATGTATGCGACTAAAGTTGGTGGTTTAGTTATTGAGTATGCATTTCGACAACATTGAGTTGAAGTTAACAAAACAATAACGATCTAGTAAAATCTTACTAGTGGGATTTGGGAAAGGTAGTGTGTACGCAAACTTTATCCCTACTCTAAATAGTATAGCGAGGCTATTTCTGAAAGATTCACGACTCAAGAAGACGAAAATAGACAATATCAGTACCACCAACAGAGACCAAACAAATAATTACAGTTGAATTTTTAAAAAAATGTACTAAAATTGAAGTTAATAAAAAGTTAATTGAAAATTCCCAAATCATTAGTAGAGATGTCAATGGATATTTAAAAATGGATTAAACCGGCCGAATCGTACCGAACTGAACCGATTTTTAGGTTTCTTTTAGTAAAACCATAGGTTTTTATATAAATTTATAATCATACCGATAATTAGGGTAAGTTTTTTATTTTATGAAGATAAACAAAAAAAATACCGAACTGTACCGATTAAATTTATATGGAAAAAAAATATTTATATATTAAGATTAAAAATATAAAATATTAAATTTTTCCTTGGGCTCTTGAAATTATAAAACGGGACAAGCCAACAATTAATTAAACTCAAAATCCTAATTCCCAAACCTATTATATTACTTCTATTGAAACTAAATTATTTTCAGCATATTCACTAGCAAGACATAAGGTAATCTAGCAATTATGAGTGACAAACTATAATATATTGAATATGTTTTCTTTCGTACAATTTAAATTTATATTTTTAAATATTTAATCTTCTATAGACTTTATTCTTGAGTTTGAGATTGCTTAATATCTTTCCACTGGTGTGATTTATATTTTCTTTGTCTTTGTTTAGTTTCTTTTATGCTGCTATAGAATAGTTGATGGATTTATACTTTGGTCATCTTTCATGTTTTCTTAGTTCATCACCCTTAAATAGTAAAATGTCTGAAGAGTTTTGATAAATCCTATAAAAGTAGGTATGTTATTGCATTATACTTTTACTAGTGACGTTTAAATGACATTTAAAAAAATACCAAAAATTAACCGAATCGTACCGATACCGAAGAGAAACCGACATGATCAGTACGGTTTTTAACAGTCTAATTTTGGTTATACATAATAGAATAACTTAAAAATTGATATGGTACAAATTTTATAAAATAACCGGCCGAACCGAACGATTGACGCCCCTAATCATAAGGTTAATGAGGGGAGATGTGCATAGAAGAAAAACGTTAAGGGTCGTTTGGCTACAGAGATTCAGTGGTTATCCCAATATAAATTTAGGATTAGATCTATCCAGTATTTGATTGTGGATATTAATTAAAAACGGAAATAATTTATATCGAAATTATGGGATTGTCCGTCCCGTATAAAACGTGAGATCTATCCTGGTTTTAATACCAGAATTATAATTTTGGGCTAACCTTATTTTTGACCAAACAACCCCTAACTATTTCAATTCTTAGAAGAAGGAAGGTTATAGTGTCTCCTAATTTGTGATATATAAAATTAATGCTGAAAATCCTCCGACTTGACAGTTTGGCCGAGTGGTCTAAGGCGCCAGATTTAGGCTCTGGTCCGAAAGGGCGTGGGTTCAAATCCCACAGCTGTCATTTTTATCATTTTTTTTCCTCCCTTTTTCCCTTTAGTTTAATAATTATATTTAGATATTATTAAACTAAATAATATTATCATATGTACCAAGTTGATTTACCATTTCTAAGTTTTCCCCTAATATAACTATTTTCATATTATCATATGTAATTGTCTAATTTGAGCATGAGAAAAAAAAAAGTTTAGAGAAAAATGGCAATGACATAGTTATTGTTTGTGATCAATGCACCAATAAAAACACAATTAAAAGCAAATGAATTGTTTTCATAAATATAATATGTCTTTAAACGTTAGTCGTAACGAGAAATATTTGGTTAATAATTCAATATGAGTTTAATATACTTTTAATTTGGTGTGATATTATCCGTTTTGAGTCAAGTCCGTACGATTTTTTTTCAAAAAGTCTCACACTGTTAAGAGATTTTTACACTTTATATATAGGCTCCCAATATTTTCGAATACCAATATGAGACTTTATTCGCACGCCCAATTTCAATGTATATCGTTAATTTTTTATTTATCTTTTTGCATTACGTCCAACTTTAACCAAAATAATAACTCGAGCTCATTTCTGAGATTATATTTGTTCCTGAGCCTATTTTAAATGCGAATTCTATAAATGAGTCAATTAGGCACTACCTTATTTTGGACAATAATCATACAATTTTCTACAAAAACAAAATCATGATTGAGTTTTTCCATTGTTGAATAAGATGTAAAAGAAATATCTTATTAAATTATACATAACAAAACGAGAAGGAGCTGAATATTTTTTAATGAATGTTTTTATGTATAGATATAAATATATGCAAAAAATTTATATGACCTAATAACCACAGTAAGATGTTGAGGGAAGGCTAATTAAGACACGTATTTCAAAAATAATGGTTTTTTTTGCTAATAAAAATAATGATAATATATTCACATGAAGTATATTAGATTAGAAATTAAAACTTTCTATGGCCCCTATTCACCAACAAGAAACCAATATTTCTGAATCTCAAAATTAATTTCCCTTTCCAAAATTATTTTGACTTCATTTCTCCAATTCTAACAAACTCTATTTTGCCAAATCATTTTGCATGTTTTTCATTATAAAATTTCCATGAGTTCTTCTTCCTTGAATCATTCATTATTCCTTTTTACAATTTATTTATTTTTTCAATATGAATATTCCAGGAATTCTTCTTCTTTGGATCCCTAATTAGCCTTTTTACAATTTATTTATTTATTCAAATATTAATAATATTTCTTCTTTGAATCCTTAGTTACCCCTTTGGTTGTTTCTCAAATTTGATTTTTCCATGAATTCTTCTTCTTTAAATCCTAATTAGTCTATTGTACAATTAATTTGACCATTTACTATCTATTTTGGTGATTCAATATTAATTTTCCTTAAAATCTTCTACTCTGAATCCTTAATTTGCCAAATTTTACAAATCAATTGAATGTTTATCAATATGAATTTTCCATCAATTCTTCTCCTTTGAATCCTTCATTAGCCCCTTTTACATATTTGTTTTTTTCCTCAATATTTTTTTTTTTTTAAATATTAAAAATTCTTCTCCTTTGAATCCTTATTTAGCCATTTTTAATAGTTATTTTGGTGCTCCTTTTTTCCGATTAATTTCGACTTTTTTCAACAATGAATTCACCGACAATAACAGGGGGAGAAGACTCATCGACGGTAAACCGCCGGCAACCGCTCCTACGAACAACAACCACTGCGACACCGATGACGACGAAGAGCATCGAAAGTCCGCACCGGCGGCGGGCAGGGGAGGTTGCCGGACGTACGGCGGCGGAGTGCGCCACGGTATGTTGCTGTTTTCCGTGCGCGGTGGCGCACTTTCTCGTATTGGCAGTGTACAAAGTTCCGACGGGATTGTGCCGGAAAATGTGGAGAAAGAAGAATCAGAAAAAGCTTTTGAATAATAATAAGAAGAAGAATGAGCCCAAAGGTGCCTATGATATCGTTGCAAATGAGAAAAATGGCGGCGGCGGTGTTGGAGGCGGCGGCGGAGGAGGAAAGCCAGTGGTGGCGGAATCTGAAACGGAGATGTGGGGCCGGTTTTATGAAGGTGGATTTTTTAGGAGTGCATCAAAGAAGAAAGAAGATTAAAAGTGTAAAAATATTTAAAAATATTAAATAATGGGAAAATTAAGTCAGTGGCATTACAAATTAATTATAAGAACTTTTGGGGAAATATATAAATAAATAAAAAAGAGGGTATTTGATCTTTTTTTTTCCTTTTCTTTTTTGGTAAGAGAAATAGGAGAAAAGGGGATTTTAATGACATTGTTTGTACATATAGATACAAAAGAAATGGTGATGTAGCAAAAAAATTTATATATTTTTTCTTTTGTATTTTTTTTTTTGCTATTGTTGTAATTTTATGTAATAATGAAGGATTCAGAACTGTGAATTGGAAGTTTTACAATGTTTAATTTTCTTCTTTTACTGGTAATGTTGTTTTAGCTTAATTCGTCAAAGCAGGATTTTTCATAAGTGGTGTCACTATTTCTAGTCAAAAAATATTTTGCGGAGCCAAGGGAAGTCAAACCCAAGAGCTCTCACATAATACTTGAAGCTAACAACCACTAAACTACTGAGATGTTTTGTTGCAAGTGGTGTCATTTTTAATAGTTTTATCTTGTATTTCTGTTTTACTTATTATTTTTATATATATAAATAGTAAAAAAAATTCGACGAAGCGGTGTCCCGTGACACCGCTTACCACCATGTGAATACGCCCCTGAATTTACTAATATAAAATATCATGTCATATATTTATATTTTTGTCTTTATTATGATGCAAATAGATTTTCTTGAGAACCCATATTAGTTTTACCATAACTAAATGATAATTTGATATGAGCATATACATTATTTAATCATAATTTATTGGTAAATATCTGAATATGTTACATTTTTTTTTGATTCAATATAAGCTAGCGTTTGACCATAGATTCCAAATTTGTTTTGAAAAATTTGATTTGGGTGAAGTTTGGTTTGAAGATGAAAATGTGTTTGGACATACATTTTCAAAACATATTTTCCAACTTTATTTTGGAAAAATATGTATATAATTCCCAAGTTTTGAGATTTTGACCCAAAATCAGCAATTGGGGTGATTTTGGGATTTTGGGTTTGTGATTTGGGATTTTGCCAAAATGTGGGCAAAATTTATGGTCAAACATGAGTTTTATTTTTGAATTGTGGCAATTTTTCAATTACCACTTATAAATCTTGTTATTTTTGAATTTCACTCTCGATTAACATCCCTTGGTTGAATGTGGTTCCACCACTGATTCCCATATGTCTCACCCAAGGTCCAAGGATATGACCTAATTATAAATAAATAGGTCGAAAAACATGAGATCTCAAGTTCAAATCTAGCGGAAGTTTTTAAAAAAATAATCTCGACAATTTCTCTTTAAACAAGGTGGTCCCCACTATATTATGTGGAAAAAAAAAAATCTAGTAGTACTCTGTAGTCTGTACCAAGAACCACAAAAACATCATCTTAAATAATTTAAAACCATACCCTTTTTTTTTTTGTTCTTCCAAATGGCACTCTCTTTCACCTCCATTTCCAAATGCCAAAGCTCAAGATTATTCAGCCATGGTTCAATATCCCAACCCCATCTCAAATTTTACAATTTAGTCACCAAATGTGACCAAAAAGAACCATCAGCAGACTCAAAATTAGACTCAAAAAAACTTGGAATTGGGTCTCCTATTATAGTAATAGAGGCACCCAAATTGCTTAAAACTGCAGCCTCTGTGCCTTGTCTTAGACCCAATGATGGCTTGGTCAAACCTGGTGATGTTGGCAGGTACTTAATTTTTATTATATATATATATATATATACTCTGACAGTATAAATAAAATTTCACACAATTAATGTAATTCAACTTGTTATAGAAAGATATTTGTCTTATTTCTTATCACTCCGTCCTAATTTATGTGTCGGAGTTCGAATTTCAAGAGTCAAATGAGTTTTTTTTTTACCCTAATTTTTTTATATGCTTTTTTGATATTTTGAATTGTTAATTATTGTGACTTATAGTATTTTTTACTTGGCATCCAATGTATAAATTTTGTTTAAATTTTTTAATGATTCTATGTGCAAATTAAAAATCAAAATTAAGAAGTCTGATTCTCGAAATTCTAGCTCCGTCACAAAAATTGAGACAAAGTGAGTAGTTTACTAAATCTATTATATATGGATAATCAACTATAATTGCTTGTAAGATGACCTCATAGTGTAAAAACTTTTATATTGTAGAAACTTTATAGCTAATTTATATTGTTATGTTTGTATTTCCATGCATTTGATTTCTTTTACGTGAATTATATTTTTCTTGAGCCGAGGCTCTACCGGAAACATCGTTTCTACCTTTATAAGGTAAGAGTAATTAAGGTTTTCACACACATTATTCTCACCAGCAGTGGCGGACCCAAGTGGTAACTGAATCCGCTTCACAAAAAAAAAAATTATGTATATGTATAAATTAGGATTAAAGTTGTGTAAATTTTGTATAAATATTTATTTGAACCCACTTGACAACTACTATTTTACGACTAAAGTTATATACTTCTAAGATTGAACCCGCTTGCACAAAATTCTGGGTCCGACACTGCTCACCAGACCTTGCTAATGGAATTACTAGGTATATTGTTGTCGTTGAATTATCAAGGAAAACTTACGCAGCAGGAACTGAAATTTTCGGAAAAGAAAGAATCAAGAAATTTGTATAGTAGTAAAGATTAGTTTTAATGCAGAAACTACTAAATGGTAGCCCTTGAAAATCACAGGCGAAGCCAGGATTTCAAGTTTATAGGTTTAGAATTCTAGTCGTTTTAAGCTACTGGGTTCTAAATTAATAATTTATATATATTCATAATTTTTTTTAAACAAAGACAGAATTCGAACCAAAGTTACAGGGTTCGACCGAACCCGCTCGGAATACTCTAGCTCCGCACTTGCTTGAAACAAAAATTGTAATATAACCTTTTCTTTTCACAGAGTTAACATGGAATTGTGGTTAAAAGAATGTTTTTTTTTTTTTGACTTTTTGTTCTCAGAAATTTTATTTATTTTATCCTAAAATTATATTATGTTTTTCCAAGTCGAAGAACTAATAGCCTATTGGACAAACTTTATTATTATTATTATTATTATTATTATTATTATTATTATTATTATTATTATTATTATTATTATAGAATTTGAAGTAAATTAAGTAAAATTGAATTGAAATGCAGGATAGTGTCAAGGAAGCCTATGGATGTGTGGGCAGTTCGTCTCAGCATTGGCACTTATCTTATTGATGGGAAATACTTTAAACCCTTGGAGCTTGAGAACTGATCCATCCATCTTATTTTTATGAAGATTTATAGGAATGTATGCTCTTAATTTTTTTTAAAAATATTCTTATGAAATCTCATATATATATTGCAGTAAGTGGTAGTTTCCCTTTATTAACCTTTTCTTTTTGGAGAATTTCTGTATAATTTAATTATTGTACATTGACACTGGAAAACTTAAAGGAAAGATGAAAAAGTATTTTTTTTAATATAATACAATAGTTGCCCGCCTTAGACGTAGCTCCTATTTGGCCATAGATTTTGGCTTTAGTTTTTCAAAAAAAATAAAATATTGTCTGATTATGAAAAATGATTGGCGAAAAAATCAAAAAATTTCAAGTTCTCAAAAACTAGTTTAAGACATTTTTGGCCGAAATTTTTGCTTCCACTCCCAAAACTTCAACTTTTCTGCAAATAAAATGTATGTCCAACCACAACTTCAACTTTCAAAATTTATTTTTTTAACACAATTTTAAAAACTTTTTTTTCAAATTTTAATCAAATCTATGTCCAAACACTAGCGTAAATTGCAAGTACAATTTTTGACTTTTGTAATTCTGTTTGTTTGAGATAAAAATTAAAAATTAGTTTTAAAGAAAAACTCAAATTCAGTTTGCTCAAAAGAAAAAAAAAGCTTCAGGAAAAAACCATTTTCCCAAAATATATAAACTGCAGATTTTATCTTTCTGAGAAACCCACGAATGATCGCCGTCTGTGGGGATCGAACCCACGACCACGTGGTTAAAAGCCACGCGCTCTACCACTGAGCTAAGACGGCTGGTTTGTTTATGTTCTTTCACAAATATCATGATTAATTCTTATGAAGGACATTAACCCCAAAACATATCCATTGTAGTCCCATAAGTGGAGCTCGGAGAGGATAATGTGTAAGCAGATCTTACACATACCTTGTGAAGGTAGAGAGATTGTTTCGGATAGACCATTGGCTCAAGGAAAGCGTAATCATCAGTTATGAAAAGGAAATATGGTAATGGAGAAGCAGGAAGCTATAAGAAGAGAAATAACATCTAAAATAACCGAAGCAAGTAAAGTAATAGGTAATAATAGAAATCTAAGAATATAAAATACGAGAATAACACTAGCACTACAAGTATGAAAAACATATACGCTGGACTACCTACTTAACTTACTAAACTAATCCTCGACCTCTACACCCTTCTATCAAGGGTCATGTTCTCAGTAAGCTTAAGGTGTGTCATGTCCTACCTTATTACCTCTTTCTAATACTTCTTCGACCTACCTCTACCTCTCCTCGAACCTATCATCGCCAACCTCTCTCGCCTCCTCTCTGGGGCATCAGTGCCTCTTCTTTTCACATGTTCGAACAAACTCAACCTCGCTTCCTGCATCTTTATCTACCACACAGGTCATTCTCACCTTGTCCCGAATATCTTCATTCCTAATCATATCCCCCCTAGTATGTCCACACATCCATCTCAATATCTTTATTTTTGCTACTTTCATCTTTTAAACATAAGAGGTTTTCAGTGTCCAATATTCCATCCCATATAATATAGCCGGCCCAATAACCACTATATTGAATTTATCTTTAAGCCTTTGTTGCACATTTGTCACACAAAACGCTGAATGTGAGTCTCCATTTCATCCACCCTACTCCAATACAATATGTGACATCATCGTCAATCTCTTCATTATCGTGGATTATAGACCTCAGATACTTGAAACTTTCTCTCTTAGAAATGACTTGTATTTCCGGCCTCACTTC